AAATGGATAATGATTCCAACTTTATCCATTAACCCCTCCAAGAGATAGAGATCTCAACTCTTAGGTCCAAAAAGGTGAAAAGCACAACATGTCTTAATCATTAAGCACATAATCTTGAAGACCTCCTAAACTAATCTAGAAAGGTTTCTAGCACCATTTCTAGCATAAAAATCCATAGTTTTCATGCATGCATGTCCAATATATGTCTTGAACTCCAATTAGGTCAAAATGACGGTTAATGACCAAAATTTCATGCATGGCACGAAATCTAATTTCTTGTTTAGATGCAAAGCATCAAATGCTCAAAAAGGCATAGAGAATCATAAAGATGAAAATTTTATGAGATCTCACCAAATAAACCCATCAAGGCATGAAGAAAAGGGACAAAATCTAACGATCTAGTAACTTACAAATGAAAAGGATGATTCTTGGACACTCAACAAGCTCGAGAAAATGTGCTAGTTGATGAAGATGAAGCTTGCAAGGTAACTACCACACCAATGGTTTCCTTCACCTTCAAATTTACTAAATACACCAAGAATGAGTTCACAATTACACTGGAGGCTAGGGTTAGTGTTTCTGAGCTTGATAGGGTAATAGAGGTGGAAGGACCTCAAAACCATAGCCTTAATGGTCTTTAAATAGGGCCCAAACGCCAAGGATTAAGATTTCTATTAAAACAAATATCATATCGTGGCACCTATGACCACACCATAGTGGTTCATCTCAACCCGCGACCCAATTCCATGCCACCACACCATGGTGAAACTCCACCATACAGTGGCCACACAAAATAGAAGTTTAATATTTTAAAATTTATTGTACTTGGAACGGGTGTTACAGACACACGGTAAATAATACCAGTGCTCTTAATAAAGGTTGATACATTTTGATATTCACACCCCAGTTTGTTTGTAGACTTATATTGTCACAAGAGAATTGGTTTTTGATCATGGTTTTCAATTGTAGGAAAGTATAGAAAACTTGTAACTTGTGATATAAAAAATAAATCCATGTAAATTTCTTGCAATCATAAATAAACAAGACAAAATAACAAGATCCATTTAATGAAAAGATAAGGGAAAGTCCCCAAACATTCGAGTACACTAGATCAAAAGGTTGAGATGACTGTACATGAGATGTAGGTAGGTTAAATCTAGGTAGGTGAAATCTGTGACCTTTACCAAATTGAAATGAGTCACACACATTGGGTAATTTATTTGATGAAATAGGAAGATTAAATGTTGATACTAAACATCTTAACACGGATTGATAAGGATGTGCAAGTCTTCTATGCCATCCGTGAAGAGAGGTACGAATCTTAGTGAAAGCAACTTTATTTCTAGTTGGAGGCAGCCGATAGAGAACTTGATGGACGTCCCTTTTAAGGATTGTTTGTTCTTGAAACCTCTTAACATTGCAATGGATAAGCCAAAATTCAACAACCACATCATTATCTTCCACTAATTTTGAAACACTTAGAATGTTTTTGGTTAGTTTAGGAACAATAAGTGTAGTTGGCAATTTAAGACTTGACTGATATGATGACCTAACATGATAAATAGACAATTGGTTACTGTTTCCCAATTGAAGTTTGCCATCCCGTTTGTATTCTTCATAAATATTGAGTTCTTGAGTATTAGAGTACACATGGTCTACAACTCCTATGTTTATATACCAGGCTGGATCAATCACGGTAGAAGGGATGTTGAATTAAGTGACATAGCCTATTTTTGTGAATTTCTTAGATTTGGACAGAGGGAAGGAAAAATAGTTTGGTTAGTCCTCTACCAGCAATCAATGGATTCATGATCAGTTTTAGTGTATAATTGACACACTAGTCGGCGTTGTCTTGTGTCTTTGGTTCGAGATGATTTGGAGTTTTTCCCTTGAGCATGAGAATTTTGTTTCGATTGATTGACATAGAGGGAAGTGGATGTTGATGGTAATGAATCTTGTCGAATGTTTTCTTGTTCTATGTGAGCTTCCTCTTAAAGAAGAGGACGTATGAGATCATCAATGGACAAAGTTTCACTTTTCATCATGAATGTATTAATGAATACACTACGATGAATCAACACCAAAGAGAATGTATCCAATCAAATCTTCATTATCCACCGGATAATGATTTGCAGCTAATGATTTGTAGCTAGAGAGTCCACAATTGATCGACATGGACCCTTTAGAAAGGGTTTGAAGTTGGGCTTTTACTGGCAAGCTACATGCCCTTGTTTGGGCTTGAAAATTATTTCCAGTAGTTTACCAGGCCATCGGGTTGCTGGAGTAGGTAGAATAGCTGGAGCATCGGGGGCAGTGGCAAGGTTCTATCGGTGGCAGGAACATCAATTAACTTCGCATGAGGTTTTAGATTGAGAACAAAAGCATCGAGATCAAAGGTCTCAAGAGCGGAAATGATTGTAGTATGCTAGACTGAGTAGTTTTTACTATCAAGTTTGAATGCAATTGACGGTATCTGGAAATTAAAAGAAGAATTGGTGGAGGTCGCAAGATTTAGCAGATGTGAGACTCCAATCGTCATTGAGGAATAATATGAGAATATTGAAAAAAAAAATTCAAATTTTTATAAGGTACACACTATTACAGTATAGTGAAGTGAGTAATTGTGTGGATATTCCATTTACAGTACATCAATATATAAAAAGTTATGAACTAAAATATGATAGATATTCTCCTATACTAAAGAAAATTCTATATGGACTTTGACCACTCTAGTAATTCAATATTACACGTTTACAATATTTGTTTAATAAAGGAAAACCATTTGACTGTATCATGATTTGCTTTTGTTGCAAAACTATGTTATTTGCATCATAATTTACGTTGCTTTTGTTTGAAGTTTTAGTTGTATTTGGTCGATTGATACATCATGATGCTCGATTTTGAAATTATACATCCATTGCTAAATTTAGTTCGAAAACAACCTTGATCCAACACTTTCAAGTTGTCTTCATTCACTTGACCTCCCTTTAGTAAGCCCTTTTAACTTGTTCACCAACCCAAGTCCACCTCCAATATTCTGAGCCCAATTTCATTTACACCATTACATGGTTAAACTAGAGCTACACATCCGTGGTCTCATACCAGTTTTGGGTTGGTCTCCAAACGGTTTGGTCTTTTTGAGATTGGTCTCGCATTCAGAATGGTCCGATCTTTGTTTTTTGGACCGGGCCTATTTTGTCTTTTTTCATTTCGATGTTTTTTCGGATTAATCTTGCCGTCTTTACATGAGCCTTTTTTATTTTGATTTATAGGTTTTTTTATTTGATTTTGGTATTTTTGATTCTTTTGTTTTGGTTTCGGAGTTTTTTTTCATTCACAAATATGAGATTATCACCAAAATGATAAATTAAGATTTATTAAAAACTAAGTGCAAGACACATGTAATCAATGAGTTTATTTTAAAAAAATTAAATATAAAAATTTAACAATTTAAAAAGTTTAACTTTATAAGAAAAATGATTTTTTTTTGAATTATTAGAATTAATGAGACTTTAATGTATTGAATACATTACATATATAAATCATTTCTAATAAATACCTTATATATTAAATATGAAATCTTAATTTAATAAACTGAAAAATACAATAAAATAACAAGTGGAAAATAAAAATTTTATAAATTCTAGAAAATATCATGTATCCAAATAAAGGAGAAGCTGATATGTGCCAAAAAGTTTTTTATTTATTAGGGACGGTGATAATTTAAATTTAATATGAGATTTTATCACCAAAATGATAAATCAAGATTTATTAAAAATGATAATTTAAATTTAATAAAAGAAAAAATGAAATAAGTTAGACAGTTTGTGATTAAAAATTGACTGTTCATTTTTCGCAGACCGGTCTCAGATTGGTCCGCTCTTTTTTAGGACCAGTCTCAGAACGGTCTGATCTTTTTCGAACCAGTCGGGAAAGTTCTCGGACCGGTTTTTTTCGATCCGATCTTTTTTAGAACCTGTCTTTTTCCGGTTTGGTCTCGATCTCCTTTTGGTCTGATCCGAGACGACTCTTTTGGTGCAGGTCTATGTTAAAGTCATCTTCACCTAAATCATTTCATGTTAAGGGTTGTTTCCTAAAGTAAACCATTTAGCGTTTAATAATTCTAACATCTTAATGGTTTTGACATTAAGGGATCGTTCACAAACTTTTAATAGCTTTAGATTGTATTAAACACGTTGAATATCAACCCATTGAAAGGCTAGAATAGCTCCATTCAAAGGTTATGAAATAGCCGCTAGGACTACAATACAACAAACAATGGAATTAGGGTGGTGTTTGGGATTGTGGTTTAAAAGTGCTTATTTGCTTATTGGTTTTTTGAAAAGCTAATAAGCCAAAAAAAAAAAGTGTTTGGTAAACTCAAAAGCACCTTTGAGAATGGCTTTTCCATAAGCTTCAATAAGCACTTTTTAATAAGCATGGAAACGTGGCTTGTTGAAACTACTTATGCCTTTTCAGCCAAAATAACTTTAAAAAACACTTTTTAAGCCAAACACTTTTTAACTTATTGACTTATTAGCTTTTTCACTGTAAAAACTTATCCAAACACTTTTTAAAAAACTCTTTTTACCACCACTATAAGCAAATAAACACTTTTATCTAAAAACACTTTTCTAGTTAAAAAAAGCACTCCCAAACACCCTCTATATATCATTCCATAACTAAGATTATGTGATTAGCATTAGATTTTGAAACTTTACCTGATTATAATAACGCCTTACAAATAAAAAAATTCATGTTATGATTGAGTATGTTTTTCAAGCATAATGTTGCAATAATATATTTTAGTATTTCTACGCACTTCTAAAAGAAATATTGCATGCTAAAATAACTACACTATGGATTTATATGGTGAACCCAACATGTATTAAACTTATACTTGTTGAATATGGGTGACTTATAAACAAAGAGCAAAAGAAGAAAACCGAAAACATTGAAGCAAAGGGTGAACAATGTAACAAGAAACTAATAATAAAAATCTAATGTTTAGTTACAATTATCGGATTTGCAGCCTTGATTGTAAAGATTGTCTGAACTATGGTAAGAATAAACAAAATAATTCCAGCGAATACAGCAACCATATGCCATGGACTACTGAAATATGTCCGCTTCAACCCTGCAGCAGCATTGGGCCAATATCTATTATAGTATGTATCCAGATCTTGCCACTCTTGATGATAATAAAAACCATCTAATGCGACATCTTCGCATATTCTGTTTATCATATTAGCAGCATTCTCATTAGAACCACAATCGTTTATCAGGACCCCTGACTTTATCAACTTGGCAACATCCTCAGCAGTATCGATTAGCATATCCATGGCCCAAGCATATGCTGTAATGTATCTAGTAAGTAGACAAGCCTGTTCATACATAATCAGGTTCCTTATTATCAACTCAGTGTTATCATGAACATGCAGTTTTGGCATCCTCAATGTAGGCTTACACCAAAACCATGGGAACCATGAAAACCTGGGTAATTTCATTTCCATGGCTATTACCCAATTTACATCTTCATTAGGCCTAAAGTTTACCCCAGCTCTATCGAGCTCCAAGGCGGAGTGCCTCTTTGGATATGAATAAGATGCTGATGGGAAATCATTTGTAGGCTGTAAAAATTTGTGAAGAAAGCCAAGAATATGATCATGATCGGTGGTTTCAACGCTTATATTGCTTGTTATTATATATTCTCCAAAGAAGTTGTAATAGCGGAGAAGTATTTTAATATGGTTAGTGAGAGAGGTATTTGGTTTAAAATGAAGAATAGTAGATTCAAAGATGTCTTTAAGAACAAAAAACGGGATTTGGTTTTCTATCAAAACCAGGTCTCGAACTGTTAATGGAGCAATCGACCAGTTTCCCTGAAATGGTCCATCATGTTGTGAAAGAAGATGAATGAAATAAAGTATGAAACAAGCATCTATTACCATCATTCTAGCAAGTTCGTCATCGTTGTAAGTCGTTGACTCTTCATAGCATGCTTTTATTTGTTCAATCTTCGTACTCACCTTTTGCACACATTCTTGTAACGTTTGCTCTGGGTTGGAAGTAGATAGATCCAATAAATAATGTAAATAAGGCATTTTTTGAACTTCAAACTTTTGCAAATTTTTATCTCGTCTGTGAAGAGGTCCAATAGAGACAAGACTAGGGGTAAAAGATCTTGAATTGAGATCTCGATAGAGTCTAGGAACCATGAAAATTGATGGGGGACGTAGATTGCCAAGATCACGACCTTTTTCTTTACAATCAAGTAGAAATTGGACGGTATGACCAGTGCTATCTCCTGCTCCAACCTCCACATCGCTAGTTATCATTAAGATTAGCTTAATTTCTGCTGTAAGTTGTTAGTTAAACGAGAGTTTAGAGGATAGTTGATAAAAATATTATTACAAAAATGACTGGGTTCATACGGATTCAGCCACCTTAGTCGCCATTGTGGACTCGCGGATCGCAAGATAACTTTATTATGTCCTTGTGTTTGCCAATCTTGCAACAATGGTTCTACCGTCTAACTCCGTTAGAATATTACCGTTAAATACATATAAAATGACCTTTTTACCCTTGTTTTTTTTGTATTATTTGTCTTTTTGTTATTTATATTTACTACATTTAGCATTTATTAAAAGTCTCAACTCACCATCTCAAACATGTCCCTCCGGTTATCTTCTCCGACAACTTATTGTAACACCCAAAAATTTAAAAGGTTAAAGTATGGAATTAAATCCTTATTTCTAAAGACCAACTCGTCGAGTTTAAGGAATAAACTCGATGTGTTGGAAAGTTGGGACATGCATTTTGGAAGACCAGCTCGACAAGTTGGGAGGACCAACTCGACGAGTTGGACTGGGTTTAGGAAACCCTAATTTCGAGATTTTGCACCCTATTTAAACGTCTTAAGCTTTAGGGTTTGGCCTCATTTCCAGCCTCCAAGTCCCAAACCCTAGTTCTACAAACCCCAATGCATTGTGTGAGTTTGTGAGCCATCCTTGAGAGAGTTTTAGTGTGTTTAAAGCTTGTGGAAGAAGAAGAAGCTTACGGACTCAAGAAGGAGTTTGTAGATCCAGAAACTTCACCCTATCCTCATCACTTTTTGGTAAGCAAATCTCAAACTTGCCAAATGATTGCTTAGATTTCTTTCTTAGCACTTTTATTGGATTTTTGGTCCAAATATCTTGATCCTTGGGAAATGGACGTCCTAAGTGAATACTCTTTCAGATCTAGGGTCTTGAAGGGCTTTCATGACATAAAGGTGCAAACTTAATGGCCATAGAAGACCCATGAAACCTTTAGACTACCATTTTGGTCTTTTAAGCTCCAAAGGACCATGCATGAAGGGAAAGTTGAACGCTTTGCATGTTCATCTGGTCTCTAAGGTCCAGATCTCTGTTTGTACACCCTATTTTGAAGTATGGATTGCTTTTAGATCCAGATCTAGATCTTTTAGAGTTAGCGTTTGAGCTAAACATCTTGGGGGAGGGTATTAACAGGTAAAGTTAGAAACTTTGCCCTTCTAAGGACGTTTCCAGTCTATATCTGAAGTGTGGAGCTTAAATCTGAAGATTAGTGAGTTAATGAGTTAAGAAGGGGGTAATAGACTGGGGAACTCAACGAGTTCAACGATGGAATCGACGAGTTGAAGTGAAATGTCCGGATTCTGTTGAAAGAACTCGATGAGTTCAAAGGGAACTCACCGAGTTGTACTTGGAAAGTCCCGATTCTGTTTAAGCGGAGAACTCGGCAAGTTGGAGGAAAAATCGATGAGTTGCATCATGAAATCACGATTCTGTGATTCATAGGAACTCGACGAGTAATTGAAGGGTAAACTCGACGAGTTTAATCAACTCGGAGCATTGACTTTGACATGTATGTTGACTTTAACCTTGACTATACTTTGACCAAGATTGACCCTGGGAGGGTTATGAAGTATGGAATAGGTTGAAAAGGGAGTTCCATGTAGGGGTTGGGCCCAATTTGGAAAATTGGACCATCGATGGGCTTTCATGAATTTTATAATTTGGGCCTTAATGGGTCAAGGGTGAAACAGTCATTTTACCCCAAGTAAGGATTATGGATTACTGTGTGGAACCCAGTCACTAATTGGATGATATTTTGGTATTGATAGCTCGAGGAGTTGTTAGGACAGCAGGTAAGGATTTCGTGCAGTGAGCTTCACCATTCGAGGTGAGTCTCCTCACTATTTCTATGGGTCGAAGACACCAATATTGGCCCATTTGGTTCACATATGGTAGGAGGACCCCGGGGTTAGCCCTAGGCATCAAGTATGAAAGACTAGGAGGCGGCTCCTTGCACACTGTATGCTAGTTAGCTAAGTATAGCAGTATGCATGCTAGTTGTCTTTGTGATGCTTGCATGGAAGACCAGGAGGTGGCTCTTGGCACTTGTCTGTAAGACCCAAGGGTGGCCCCTGGCTTGGCACGAAAGACCACGTGGCGGCCCATGGCATAATGGCAAGACTATGTATCGGGAATTAACACCTTTACTGATTATGATATACATATAATATATATGGCTCATGGTTATGTATGGTAGTATCCGGTTGAAAGGGGCCGAAGGGGTAGGCCAGCACCTGTATATGCTAGGAAGTATTTTATTTTATGGTATGTGGTATTTGGGGAAATCACTAAGCTTCGTGCTTATGGTTTTCACTTTTGGTTTCAAGTACCTCCAGTTTTCAAATAAACGAGCTTGGGATGATCGCAGCGCATACACCTATGTTTTTCCACAATATGTGATTTCTGGGAATTAACTCTCATAAATGTTTCATTTAAAATGCTTTTTCATGTGTTAACCAAGTTACAAATGTGTTTTAGTTATATTAAAAATGAAATTTTTTGTCATGAATTTTGGGATGTTACAAGTTGGTATCAGAGCCACAGTTTGTGGGATTCGGACATACTTCCGGGTGTCTCTGAACTCAAACTAAGGACTTGGTATGAAAATTTTCAAAAGAATTTCTAGGTAAGAAAATGGGTGTGATGCGTGCAATAGATCGAGCTCAAGTAAGTGGTTCCCAAAATACCAATACATGTTTGTTATGTGATATGATATGATTATGTAATACACATCCTAGATTATAGCTAAGGATCGAGGAGAGATGCCTTTGTGTGCATACATGAGCTTGTAAATTTGCATGCTAGAACCAATCAGCCAGTAGTAGGATGGCCTGTTTAGGTTATGCTGATTGTATGAACCTTCGAAGTACATGCTAGTACAAATTCCAGACTAGAGAATAGAATAGTTTGATTGGAGTATGTTGGTTAGATTTTCCATTGTTTGAATGTTGCTTGCTTTGTGCTTTTTGGGACTCTTAGCAATGTGAGTTAGCTACTAAGTGAATATGCTAAGTCACATGTGGCACAGGCTGGATAATCTCAAAGTGATGGATTTGACCCTATTTTGCAACTCTCATCTGAGTCCAACCATTCTAGGGTCGAATCTTTTATTCAAAGGATTATCTGATCTCTGTTGCATGTGGCTATAGTCATGAGGTAGCTAGTTGACATTAATGGGAATACTTCAACAGCTAAGGATTGGGTGGGTTTAGGAACCTAGGAAAGCCTAGGATATGCTGCATAGGGTTAATGGTATGGTTCAATGAGTACTATCATAATGGTTTGAAGAAGTGACATAGAGGATTCAGGAGGAATGTTGAAGAAATTATGGATAGGTGTGGAAGGTAGTATTGGGCCCGTACTACTGAAAGCACAAGATCCATACTCGAATCGTTGAGAGTCTAGGATAATCTAATAATCTTAGGGGAGGAGGATCCTTGAGTATTTTTTGACCACCAATTGTGGTTTTTCAGTTTGGAGATAATCATTGTAACGCACGTAGATCCGGGCTAGTCAATTTAGAGATAATAAGGGTCGAAAACCACTTTTCGACAAAAGATTATTTAGAATAAACAATCTTAACCAAGTTTTAGAATATGTCTCAAGGTTACCATACATATAAAGAACGAAGAAATCCGAGTTATAACAAAGAAGTTATGGCCCGTCGAAGTTTTACGGCAAAACCGGCACAACACCGGGAGACATAAATAGTGAATTTACGATGGAGGAATTTTTAGCCTTAGTGATCTAAACCAAAGTTGTAGTATACATTAAACCGAGAACATCCATAAAAAGAACGCCCAAATCTGACTTCGTATGACGAAGTTATGATTTTTCTAAGATTCGCCTTAGTAGTGTACAACCCAAAACTCGAATTTTAGTTCGAGCGGTTTTTGGCTTATGCAACCTTAATGAGAGTTGAATATCTCATTAATAGGAACTTAATGATAAAAGCATAGACGAAAACGGAGTCCGTATGTAGAAGTTATCAATTTTACGTGGATATTTAACAGTATAATCTCCTCCTACTATTAAATTAAAGATCAGTCGAGAATTAGCCAACAAAGTCTAAACGAGAGTTGTAGATCTTATTTTGACCTACGCGTGGATATAAAGAACGTCGAAAATGGAGTTTGTATGCGAAAGTTATGACTTTTTGAAAATCGGCTAATTTCCACCCTATGTGCGATGCCACGTGTCAGCACCAGGTGAAAACTTGGAGCCTACGCAACACCACGACATGGTGATGCCCCTGGATGCCTATAAATAGAGGCTTGTGGCTGCCTCTTTTTCTCAAACCTTTCCCACTTCTTTCTCTCTCTCTCTCTCTCTCTCTCTCTCTCTCTCTAAGCCCTGAACCCCCCCCCCCCCAAAAAAAAAAGCCTAGGGAACCCCCTAGCACGAGGCTGAAGCCCCGGAGCGCTCGAAGGCTCCGAAAAGAAGAGCTTTCAGCTCGGAAACACTGCTCCAGCAAAGCTTGATTTTGAATAAAAACAATTGTAAGTGAACTATGCCTACTCTTTAGCATAGCTTATGTTTCAATATAGTAATGTTATTAGCACCTTATAAGGAGTATTTGGGCTATTATTATGGGTTATATAAGTATTGTTTAACACTTATATAATAGTAATAATAGCTAGACTATTAATTAGTCTCATCAAACGTTAGACTAAACTCTAGTGGTAATGATAATTGTTAAGGGATAATTGTTTTAAGAGAAACGAAGTGTTGTCCGAGTGCCGACTCACCACCTTACCAGGTCAGTGCATGGTCCCTTTCATCTTAGACATAGATATGAAGTATTTTATCAAAATTACGTGCTATGTGTGCATATTATCTGAATACTTGTTGTCTATCCTTGATGAACGATTTTATACATGTTTTAAATTATTTAAACTGTATATATGTGTTTTATATCCACCATAATGTTAGGGTAAAACATGGGTAGATGTAATAGATGG